GCTTGCCCGATCTTGATGCTTCGACGTATTTGGTGCACGAAGTCCCCCACAAACCGTTCCCTCAAGACCTTCTCTGGCTCGATGTCACGAAGGGACTTGATGTGATCGTAGGCCACGGGCAGACTCTCGAAGGCCAGGAGGGCTCGAACTAGCCCCCCATATGTGGCAGCTCGGTGCCGCGCTGCCATGCAGTGGTAGAGCACGTCCTCACCTGCCCAAAGGCTGTTCTTGGTGAGCGCGAAGACCTCGGCGAACTCCTCGTCGCGGTTCCTGCTGCGAAGGTCCAGCTTGCGCCCCAGGGCTCCTTGCAAAAGGACCCCACCCCTCTGCTGGTCACCTGCAAAGCCACCTTGGGGAAGTGCTGTGCCGTAGCCGACGTCGGGAGGCCAGCCAAGAAGAGCCTGCCCCCAGATCCAGAACGCCAAATCTGTGTGGGGGCCTGAGCATCCCTTCCTCCCGCTGCGGCGAGGCGGTCGAAGTAGTTGCGCCAGCTCTCGGTGCCGCCGCGCTCTGCAATTTTTGTGGCCCCCTCCGCTGGCGAAGGGCTCGCTGCCCTACGAGGCGGCGCTCGCCTCCGGGTCGGGCCTTGTAGCCGACTTCGGCCTCGCCTTCACTTTCGGCTTCAACTTGGGTGCTGCCTTTGAGGAGGACCCCGACAAAGAAGACTGAGGCGATCGTGTCGACGGCGAAGAGGGCGGCGCTGAGCTTGCTGCGTCGGCGATTGGCAAAGCCGGGGAGCTGCGCAGCCTCTTTGGGGGCGGGCCAGCCGGCTCAGGGACCCTGGCTGGATCCTTCGGCCGCGGCGCTGGGGCTTGCAACGGTCTCTTGGAGCCCGCACGCACGGAAGGACCCGGCTCCTTCGCGGACTGTGCCAAGAGAGCTCGCTTATCGTAGCAGACTTCTGCCGCGTGGTTCCCTCCACAGGCTCGTCCGCTCCTCAGCGCTACTGCGCAACGGTGCGATCCCGAGCAATCATGCTCCGCCAGGTTGCAGCGTCCAAGCTGAAAGCGAGCGCAAAGCGACTGGCCGTTTTTTAAGAATGCAGTCAGGACCTTCCCATTCAGGGCGGCTGGCACTTGTGCCACTTGCTCCTTGGCCGATGTGGCCCTTGTCTTGGCAGCACGGAGCCTCCAGGTCCTGGTCAAGGCCAACGAGCGGTGCAAGGCCTCGGTGGTCACAGGAGCCTGGTAGATCGTGGTCCGGTCCCCCACGATCACATCGTCGACCTGGCTCCTGACCGCTCCTTTGATGCGCTCCAGCTCCGTGTCCGTGACAGCGCTCCAGTCCTCGAAGCCACGAACCTCCCATGCTGCTGCCAGTGAGAGTGCCTTGAACCGAAGCGAAGTCGAATAGCGAGCGCTGCTGTAGTGGAGGTGCATCTGGTTACCTTCCGGGTTGTTGCTGGCCCAATCTCCTAGTGCCAGCTGCTCCTGAGGAGATAATCGGAGGAGCTGGCCCACCGTCGGCAAAAGCCGCCTCCAACTGTAGGTGGTCATGTCCGCAGGCTCCTGAAGCATGTCGCTGAAAATTTCCTGGACACTGAGGTTAATTTCAGAAATGGCCCAGGGCTTGCCGTCCCGATTAAAGCACATGCCCGCTCTCTTCTTGGCCAGAGGAGTGAGTGCCTCCCACTCGCGGAGCCATGCCTCGGCCCAAGACCATCCGGAGGAGAAGCGGGAGCAGATCGTGAAGTCGAACCCCCACCTGGACCAAAGCTGCAGCCAGCCGCTGCCTGCGATCACGCAAGTCGCCGCCGTCTGGCTGGGGCCGGGCAATCCCACCCTTGCGTCCTGCAGCCGTGCTTGGCCTAGGCAGAGGTGGCCTATCGCGCGAAGACAAAGGTCCTTCCACTGCCATGGACGCAGCCGAAATGAGGCAGCCTTCCTGCTCAGCCCGAACCACCGTCCACGCATCGGCCACATGATGGCCCGCTTGTCTCACGGCCTGCTCGTAGTTCGTGAAATAAAAGGCGAAGTCGGAGTCGCCCTGCACCCTGTGCTTCTGTCTCCATTCACGAACACGGCTGGCAGCGATCACCTGAGGGACGTGTCTGCAGACCACGTCCCCTCGCCTTCCATCGCCTGCACTGCATAGGCTCCCGCCATGATGTGCCACAGCCCAAAGCCCGAGGCGAACTGTGCGAGCCGATGCAACTAAGGAGGCGGACTGCACATGACAAACTGGCTTAAGCGACTTAGCTCAGCACGACACCGTTCAAAACCCTGGGGAAGTAAACTCGGCCGGGAGCACCCTGATGTTCGTGCACTTACCCGCCACGTCCAGGGGGAACCTCCGGCAGCCAGCCAAGGGCGAGAAGACTGCATACCAGGGCCAAAAGCAACAAGACGGTTACCGACCGCTCGCTGCTGCACTCGGCCAACAAATGACCCATAGACTGAAAAACTGTGACCAGGGGTGCGGTTACCGACCGCCCGCCCCTGATCAGGGGTACCTCCCCTTATATGTTGCGAGACTCCCTGAGATCGCCACCCAGGAGAATTCGCAGCCCCAGCCTCGGACCAAGCCAATGCAGATTTGAAGCGAGATCCCTCGTGTATCACCTCGCCTCCCACGGGCCGCCCTACCTGTACCTCAGGCAGACTCTGACTCGGAGCTCCAAGCCGTGGCCTCAGCAATCCTGACATTGCACGGGTGACATGGTCCAGCCCAAGACTCTGGCTCCAAGAGGTCCCCGCAGTAGAGGCATGCTCGTGGGAGACTGCCGGGGGACTCGCTGGCGCGCACAAACCTGATCCAGTGATGCAGGGCACGTTGCGCCCTAAGGTGCGGAACCATAAAGGCAGAGGCAGCATCGGGAACAGACTCGGAAGGGTCACGCCAAACCAAGTCACCTTGTTGCCAAGAACGAACCGCTGCGAGAACGTCGTGTACGCGGGTACCCTCCCTGCGATGCAATAAGTTAAGCTCGGCTGCGTAGATGGCTGTGAAAGCGTGTCGGGGGACAAGGTCCGAGAGCTGCAACAACTGAGGGCTTGACGCTCGGCCTCAGACATAAGCTCGCGGGATGCAGCCAAGGCTCGCCGAGCATCAAAGGGACTGATGCCTTCTTCGGGTACCACCCGGCGGCGCGTCCATGGTCCCAAGAACGGGAACTGAAAGCCCCCGAGGCCCTCACGGCATCTTCTGCAGTCAGCCTTGGTACACACGAAGCGCCGCAAAGGAACCGCGACATCACCGAACCGCAACTCCAGTAGCGGGACATCTGACACTGGTAAATGTGTGATCTCGCACACCTGGTTCCATATCGACCAATAGACTGATCGGCGGCCTGCGCGGTCGAGCTCGACCATGTGTGCACCTGGAAGTCAGCCAAATTTTCGGCTGACAGCAACGGTTGAAGAGTGTGGGTGACGATAACCTCAACCTCGGCATCACCCATCACAATGACACAGGGGTACCTTCCCTGGGAAAGAAAACTCTAAGCCTTTTTGG